AGAGAGACGAGACGACGAGGCTCCAGTTACAGCAGTGCAAGGAAACAAACAATAAATATAAGAAGAGGGAGTGTTCGCCCGGGGCGCCAAACAGACTAGGACCGCCACTGCCTCTATGTGTCTCTCTCGCTTACTCAGTGTGCTTGGCTCCGTGCTGCAGTGGCTCCTCCGGATTCATAGAGGGCGCTGTGCTGCAGACAGGGTCTGACAAGCGCAGCGTAGGGGTTTTGTTCCCAGAGCTCCTTGGTGCGCTGTCCACTTCAGCACCACAAAGCCGAGTGGAGGTAGCGGGCTAGCTAACACGGGCGGGACTGAAGATACGGCTCAACATCAGCACCAGCGCCAACCCGAGTGCCAGATACAGAAAATACTGAAAATTAGCCAGCGATATTCGACAGAAACACCGACAGCAACGAGGCAAGCGACTACAAAAAAGGTAAGAGTTTTCGAAGAAGCTCAAATAAGATCAAGTTGGTGGATAATAACGGGCATCCCAGAAGAAAAACGCGCTCCCCTTCCCTTCCTGCTTCATAAATACTGCATGACCTTATTAAGGCTGTGTTTACGTTAGCTTCCAGTCCTGTTTGCACAGCACATATTCGTCCTATTGCGAGTTTGTTAGACACAAAGAGGGACACTTCAGTGGTATAAAGCTGTAGGGTGACCGTATGGGCAGCCTCTTCTCGCTTTGCAGATGGTGCTGTTTTATAACTCGTCGATTTCCGCCCGCTTGCTACCCTGTGACCAGCTGCTGTTTCCCTTTTATTCCCCTCTGTCCTGGCTGCGGGACATTTAATATCTCCGCTACCGTTTTGTGAACCGAGTGGCGTGTTATGTGGCTAAACCGCCTCCGGTGTACCGCTGTTCATTTGCGGAATTAGCAAAGACTGACACAGCAGCAAATTTATCTGTCAAACTCTGGTTGCATATGTGCATTTGGGTTAAAGGAAATATGTGTAAGAGTGTACAGTTTACTAGTGGATACTTAAAGCTTTCCTATGGGACACCATAGTGATTGTGAATACTTTATGAAAGATATCTATCTATCTATCTATCTATCTATCTATCTATCTATCTATCTATCTATAGCACTGTAAAGCTAACGTGTATTGCTGTGCTTAAAGCTTTCCTATGGGACACCTTATCAGTGATTGTGAATACTTTATGAAAGATATCTATCTATCTATCCATCCATCTATCTATCTATCTATCTATCTATCTATCTATCTATCTATCTATCTATCTATCTATCTATCTATCTATCTATAGCACTGTAAAACTAACGTGTATTGCTGTGCTATATGTGTGAAAATGAACTGTGTGGTAGGAAAGACCTAGAGAAGAATCAGAGTTGAAGCAGATCCCATAGGGATTAGCGTTTGGGTTTTTTATTTTTTATTTTTTAAAAACATGTTTTTAAAGCATTTATATAATATAAAAGTCGGTATTGTGAATATCATCATACATTTTAATGTATGATGGTTTCATCACCTTTTCCAGGTGATGTCAAATCCCCCTGTGTAATGGAGCAAATGTCATAACGTTTCTTCTTCATAATAGTGATATATGTTTAAATATTACAGAGTGAATACAGCATAATATATGCTCACTGAAATCCCTTCTGTGATAGTCTGGTGACTGTTGCGGAATTTCCCCCTCCTGCTTCTTTAATCCATGAAATTGAAATGTTATAATGTTACACTGGAAATGAGCCAAAGACTTGGTGGTTCCAGCTTTAAATGTGTGGACGTGTTGCTTTTCTCTTATAAATGGTTGTAAATTCTATATTTTACAACTGCTTGTCAGACAAAATCATCTCTCTGAAGATGTCCCCTTGGGCTTTGGAAAAATGTCACAGACATCTTTCTGTGCTTGCTAAACCAAACAATTAAATAATTAAGGAATATGATCTAATGGCAAAAACCTACAATCCATCATACTGCTGCTTAATTACATTGCGATATGCAGCTCCTGGGCAAAACTCACAAATCCTTCTGCTCTCCGTGCCCACATAGCAAATCACTGTTTGCCTCAGTCCTTATGAAAACCCCATGAATCAGTAATCAGTGCTCTCTTTGTGATCGGGCAAAAAGAAAAAGCCAGCAGGAGTCGAGTGAGTGACAGGACATTGGCGGTGCTGACCTGATACTCTGTTATATAGGGCTTGGAGCGGCGCCTTGCTGGCCTGGCCAAACGAAAGTACTGACTGTATCTCTGAAAGAAGGAGGCTTCCATTTTGCCACAGCGCTGCCATCGGTGAGATAGGCCCAGGTGAGGTAAGAGGCTGATAGAGGGATTAGCTAGTATTAGGATGTGGATGCTCATAGTGGTGTGAGAGAAATGTCACTCACTCCCACTCTATCTTCCCCTGCCGTCTCTCTCTCTCTGGCTCCACAAAGCATCTGTCTCCTGCTTGCTCTGCATTCACATTGCTCTGCATTCACATTGATCCTAGATGAGCAGTGATACCCCACCGCCATCGTCCCCACCTACCCTCTCTCCGCCAGCACCACAACCACTCTGCAGCATCTCAGTGGTTCTCCTCACTGTCCCTCATCGCCAAATGCCGCTTCATGCCTCCCTGCACTCTCCTCTCATGGAGACACACACACACATGCCTGCTGCTGTCCTGATTCCTCCTCCTCTTTCTGCTCTCCTAATATACTTAGATTGAGTAAAAATGAATACTATATGAAGCAAACTGAAATAATATTAAAAGATTATGGGAAATACTGAACAGTGTTATAAAACGTGGGACTGGACAAAAGAACTATCCCAAGTATTTCATTTGTA